AAAATATAAAGTCGACAGCTATCATCCATTTTCTTTTTTTAAATATTTATAAATAAATATATATAAATAATTAATAAATGGAAGTAAAATATCAGTGATGTACAACTAACGACAGTATTTCTATGCGCTCTTCAAGAATGAGCGGATATGTCGTAGATATTAAGGGAGTTCTCGCATTTCCACTATTATGGAAACTGTTCAGAAAGTACGCGAAGTTAAAAATACATTTCCGAAATCGGATGATTCGTGTCCAAAGTTACGGTCCATTGTGCGCAACCGGATATTTTCTCGGTGCTAACCGCGAGTGCAATCCGCAATTAATATCTAGCCGAACGACGTGTATTGTTTAGACAAGAGTAATGCTCATCGCAATAGCCAGGTAAGGAAGTCTAGTTCCACCGATTCAGACAATGGCACAGCGTGGGATCGCAACGGTACGAACTGTATAATATTATCGTAAAACACCCGTTACCGGTATACCATCGACATTCATTAAATCATGAAGGTATCGATTGCGAGGCATGGCCACGAAGCGATATTATCGCTATCATTCTATTTGTATTCGTTTCGTCGCCGAAGTTACGCGCATCGCACTGTACATACAATTCGCACGATTCTATGATACAGGTCACACATTTCAACGATAATAATGCTCCTTTGCGTCGTTTTATAACATTGCTATACATATCAATGATATTACATACACGTGCTAAAAGTGGAATCACACGATGTTTGATTTCTTGAATGATAGCATGTATAAAGTTAGGCTTGCTCTGATGTATGCTAGAATTTGTTCATACATTGAGCGCTGCATGTTGCATATATATGATTTTTATATTTATGGATTATGCTATGGATTACTTCATAGCTTATTTCCTTGCATGCATCAATCAAAAGAAATAATTGCTAATTTCATAGTTATTTGTCAAATGTCAGACTGTATACATCAAACCAAGCACAGCAGCACGCAAGTGTGCAAGAATTATCATTCAAAAAATCGAGCATCGTGTGATTCTATCTTAATATCAAGAATGATTACATGTATAATATTTTCGAGAATAAAACACCAGCAATATTGCTCGTTCATTTCACTAATAGGCTATCATCTGCCGGATTGTGAAGTTGTGATTATTTCGTATTCTTAATAACATTAAGATGCTATCAATATATTCAGTGATACAATATTATGGATACGTAAATTTTAAATTCGAGGAAATAGGATACTCATAATTAATAACACAAGATTTTTATACATTTACAATGTCCCACTTAGATAACTCTAAATTATTTAGACAAAAATAAGGCAAATTATACATAAATGTATCTTAAATAAGAGACATACTTTAAAATTGATTTTATCGGAGAAAGTTTTTAAAGGATGAGGAAAAATTTTGTTCTAACATACTTCATTCATATAAATTTTGAAAAATTTTTTATTTCTTTTCCATAAGCGCTTTAATATTTCCATAAAAAGGAAAAATATTACCTCAGCCGGAAATCGAACCCGAATCTCTAGCATTCCGTGTACTATTTTTATTCCGCAATAAGAATTAATTATTTACAGATTTTAATATCATTCAACAGTATTAAGATCATTTTAAGATGCGTAAGTGCATCGAATTGTTAAATTGCTAGTCAATTTAACATGTGAAATTAGTTTAGTAGAGTTTGCGTTTTAAGACGGAAAAATCATTTCGGCGCGTAATTTAAAGAACTACATACGTAGTATATAAATTCACACAGAATTATACATAATTATATAAGAGCACTTAAGATCTAACCAGACCGTTAAAGACATTTATTTCCTATTGTATATTGAAGTATGTTAGAGCGATGCAAATAAATCTTTAGTTTTCAAATTATAAAAAGAAACAGTTAACATACGGGCTGCATACAAAAGATGAACAGAAGCTGCGCATCCTTAGAACATACCAATATGTAAATGAAAGGAGAATTGCTTATGTTGCCTATGTATCGAGCATGAAGTCCATATTTGTGCGAGAGAGAAAACTAGAAAATCTTAAATGTTCGCTATGCGCATATCATCGTCTGTGTGAACTATACAGTTGTTTTAAGGTTTCTCACATATTGACAACAAAATAAAATGAAGTGGTACATAAGAAAATGAGCTGAGTAGCATTACAATCAATTGAGACTTCATAGCTTTCTCTCTCGCATAGACGTTAACTTTAGTTTCAGAATTCAATTTCTCTTCCATTTATATATGTTCCAAGGGCGCATCTCACCATCACGTCCAGATATTGATATGAAGAACGCATACTGATCAGATGCATTTACAGCTGGATCAACAATTCTGAATTAATTTTTACATGATTAAATTATAATTAACAGCAATTTTGTAACAAACGTTAAAATAAGGATTTTATTCTTTATTTCAACATATCAAGTTTCCTTGAGTACAAAGTATAATAATTATTATAATTTTCGGTTTCTATAAAATATATATATATATATATATTATATAAATGTAGAAATAAAACGATCCCTGAATGATCACAAAAAAGTAACAATTTCTTTAGACCTGGTGCGAAGAATTATTAATAAAAACCAAAGCGCAGTACGAAACTTTTCAAGCGATCGCAAGAGCGATCCAACTCAGAACTGTAGTTCCATACTTCCGTGTTTCTGCTTTATTAGGTAAGAGACACGCGCCATGTAACAATAAGTCGTGACTCAAAGAAACTATATATGTGATGGTTAATACATTGGGAATGATGCTTTCACGCGCGATAGGATAATGTACGCGGTAGTATCGCTTCCCTCATAAAAGCGGGATGAAGGGAGAAACTACTATGTATTCGAAGCAGCGGAAGTTACCGTCAGCTACCTGACACCCGCCTCGGAGTTTGCAGCAAACTAATTTCGTAAACCTCCTGATAACCGGCGCATTTAATTGATGCCGCTCTCGAAATGAACCTATCGTACAGATTTTATGGCGCAACACTTAAATCCGGGAAGAGCCAGGCAGATAAGAATAAGTTCACCCTTGCCCCGCCGTCTTGTTGAAGAAATTCCCATATCTATTGCAGTGCCTAACGCGATTAATACACAGTTAGAGAAAACTTATATTTCAAGTTCAACACATTTCAAATTCAACACATTTCGTAAACGACTCACTTAAATTTTTATGTTAATTTAACATAGATAAATATATTTAATAGTAAATTGTGTAAGAAATTAACGTAAGGTAGTAACATATATTATGTAAAATATAACATTGATACAATTTGGAAGCATATTTTTTTAGAAAAATTAATATTTCAATGTATTAAATTAAAACATATTTTATTTATTTATCTTATGAAAATTTTCGTTTTAAAATATTTTCTATTTTTATATAATTTGTTCATTTATAAATTGTGTTGTATTGATAATAAGAAATGAATATCAATTTAACGTAAAATATTCAAATAACACATTTTATGTTAAATTAACATTAAAATATGTTAAAATTTAATTATGTTAAAATTCAATACTGATTTTAACACAAATATAAACTACTTTTACTAAGGATTGGAAAGTACTTTTTAAAAATACACAGTAAAAAAAATTGTGTATTTGTGTTGGAAACGGTTTACTCACGTTCTGTGTTAACAATTTGTGTTGAATTTTGTAAAAAAACATATTCAAGTATTAACATAATGAGATTGTTATTTAAAGATTTTATGTAAAATTGAAATTCAATATTTCTTAATGTTAAAATGATACAATGTGTGAGTAAGTGAACAAGTTACATAAAAATCTGTTTTAAAAAGTAAATTCTAACAATAAGATAAATAAATAAAATATGTGTTAATTTAACATATCTTAAATATTAATTTTTTGAAAAAAAAATATTTTTATGATTTATTTATAAACTATGTCGATATTACCTTTTTTGTATCTATTTTGTTACATAATATTTGTATAACTTTCTAACATATTTATCTTGTATTAAATTAATCCAAAAATTTGATCGGACCGTTTACGACATGAGGATTATGTTATTATAAATTCGATACATTTTTTTTAACAGTGTAATTAATTTACTGTTATTAGTTATCGAGTCAAAAAAAGTAACTAACATTACCGTTACTAGTTATTGATTTTCAAAAATAACTCGTTATAATTACAAGTTAAAAATTTAGATGATATTTGCTTTCAGATATGATTTGAGTTCTATTTCTCATTTAATAATCAAAAATATTGCTACACATATGTTGCTTGACATATGTTGTCAAAGTCAAGATCATCGAATCTGTTTCCGTTGTTATCATATTATCAAGAAAAAACTTGCAATATCTGTGTGTAACAATATTCTTGATTATTAAATGAGAAATAGAACTCAAATCATATCTGAAAGCAAATATCATCTAAATTTTTAACTTGAATCAATTACAAATATAAGTATGTCAGAAATATCAAGCTGATAACTATATTTATGTGTTAAATTAGGTATACCGTGTCTTAAAATTGGTTTCAAATTTTTCACAACTAAACGTGGGCCTTAGATAAATATTAGAAAATATACATATATACGATTTCTCTTGTCAAGATACAGAATGTAAAAGTCATACGTACATGCATACATATCTGTAGTTATGATACACAAATTAGGCCAGGTAATTGGTTTACGTTTGACCGTGATGGAAATGAGCATTTTATTGTCAGACGAATAAGGCACATGCAATTAAATTCTGTGATTAACATTTTTTTTCCATATGGTTATTGTTGCGATAACTTTTTATACTCCCGTTATAACAGCTGTTATTCAATATACAGAAAATGATAAACTCTACTGATTGTATGAAATAAAAATGCCGTTAATTTTGTATAAAAGTCTTACAGTATCTATATATATATTTAAGAAACTCATATAAATAAGATTAGGCTTTTTTATAACCTATTTATGTAAAGATAATCCCCTTCTCTCATATAAATAGCACGGTTTATATAGAAGCAATTTCCAGACAAGATATATAATCTTTCATATTAGTGCATACTGATCGTCAGCAACAAGATTTTTGGAAAAGTATTAATACGCAAGAGTGGAAATATATTGTATGTACGCGAAAATGAATCTTAAACCACGTTTATTATTTGTGTTTATTATCGTTGTATTAATGCACGAGACAACATCTAAGCAATTATATCCATCATGTAAGCACTCTTCTTTTAAACGTGACATTTTTTATTACATTACTTATTGCAATATTCTAATTATAAATCGAATTTTATTAAAATGTATATTCTGCGTAGGCTTAAGCTAAGTACAAAAGAATTAAAGTTATTAAATTCAAATTCACATGAGAACTTTGACAAAGAGATTTGTGCATAATTTAACACATTTATTTGTTATTGCTTATTTTAGCAATTTGCCTGTTGCCTATAAATAGTGGCCCTTGTATAGCAAATATACTGAGATACGCGTACAATTCAGCTTCCGGACAATGCGAACAATTCGTATATGGTGGCTGTGATAGAAATGCAAACAATTTCAAAACTATGTCCGAGTGTGAATTGGCATGTAAAACTATATAATGATGGACAAAAATGATAAGCAAGAGATTCAATAAAGATTTAACAAGAAATTTATTTTTATACTTTACTTTAACCCTAGTTATACACACACTTTTTTTTATTCTTACACACATTCTGGGATCCCATCCATATTTGTTACTGTAACTTTCGTAAAAATGAACATATTTCAACTTTTTTTTCAATCGATGGAAAATTGATTAAGAAATAAGATATGTAAAAGTCGATAGAATTAAGAAACTTCATACAGGTTCAAAGAAAAAGAAAAGTTCAGAAATATGAAAAAAAAATCTCGATTTAGCAAATTGCACTGGAATTTTTGGCATCTAAGTATGTATAGTTCAGATTAACAGTACACTGTTGGAAAAAATGTGTCGAATTTAATATAAATCATATATCGCAACGAACTTTGGCTTAATTTAACACAAGATGAATATGTTAGAAGATTACACAAATATTATATAAGAGAATAAATACAAAAAAAAAATATTGGCATAGTTCGTAAACAAATCGTGGAAGCGTTTTTTCAGAAAATTTATAATATGTTATATTAACATGTATTTCATTTATTTGTTTAGAATTAATGTTTTAAAACATATGATTTTTATGTTATTTGTTCATTTACTTATAAATTGTATCATTTTGATATGTTAAGAAACGTTGAATATCAATTTCATACAAAATCTTTAAATAACATAATCACATTATATTAAATTAACACTCAAATATATTAAAAAATTCAACACAAACTGTTAGCATAGAACATGAGTGGACCGTTTCACACATACACAATTCTTTTACTGTGTAATAGAAATTATAATTTTAATGACGTAATGTAATTAAATGTATATAATAAGAATACAAAAAAGCCCTTATTTCCGCATCATTGTATATTTTAATATGATCTCCAGTAGCACATGTCGATTTATATACGATTCCTAAACATATTTAATATTCTACAACTGTCTTTAAAGTTTTTAATGTAGATTATTAGATATGTTTAGGAATCGTATATAAAACGTATATGAACGAATAAGTATTTGGGATACTTTAACATAAATAAAAAGACTAATGCTTGTAATTTTTCACCTTTTCTTTTTTCTCTTTTTTTCTGTTTTTCCTATAATATTAAAGATACAATAATAATATAAAGAGTATTTTACAATTTCAAAAATTTTATAATTTTATAATTTTATATTAATCCTTAGTACACGCGATGAACTTTCCAATCTTTTACTATACACAATGAATCATTTGTGACTGGGTTAATTTTTATTACTTTTATGAGAATATGTAAGAATTATATTAAGAGAGATAGATTTTTTGTATCTACATATTTAGCACATATTCTGATACTTATTTTGTTTCATTATTAAATTATTATATTATATAAGAATGTATTTAAAATATATTTGAAGTAAAATGGAGAAAATAATCCTAAATCAAAAGCGGGCATTAAATATTATTATATTTCAACAATAAATATTAATATATTATTAAATATTATTATATTTGAATGCCATAAAATCATGTTGTCACAATTTATGACCATCATTACATTTTTGATAGAAAAATATTAGCTTCTGTCAGTGTACACCTGATCGCTTCCGGCCCTTTCAATTTACAACGGCAAAGACGATCACTTTGTGATCTGCATAACTTAGAATAACTTCCTGCAACGAGACTATAGTCCTCTATAAAGGAAGTTGCTTTAAGTTATATAGTAGACACAACTTGCTACATACATCGCAATTTTATTGCGAAGAAATCATTCAGCATAATGTATGAGGAATAATGAAAAATAAAACGAAAAAATTTATATATTATTCGGGCTTCAATCCCCGATTCAGGTAATATTTTTCGCAATAAAATTATTTGCAGATTTTTGTGTTAATAATAAATAAATATTAAATCATGCTAGCATTAATAAAACTATTATTAATATTGCCTGTTCTCTCTGACTTGTGGTTTCTCACAGTAATGCAATATTTGCCGAGAGGGCATTAGTACACAGACATGTTTCGGATTTGCACTTTACGTGTTACATTATACATTATACAATACAGTGCATATTAATCCGCAGATACTCGTTTTAAATAAATGTTAATGTAAATAATAAATACTATTTGCCTGTTATTTACTATATAAAATACTTGTATTCCAAATAGTAATGATCGATTGACGCATTCTTTAAATAAATATTTCTATTAAATCTATTTCAATTGTTTCTTTGTACTGTGTTAAAAAAAATATTTATTTATTTTATTATTTTTTCTATCTCAACTATTTTCCCCAGCAGGTCATAGTAGTAGTCTGACTTATCGATTTCATTTAAATTACATTGGGCCGATAAATTAGATTATTACTATATTAATTTCCAAAGAACATGTATCTCTGATATTCAAAAATGTCTTGAAATAAATGTTTTTAAAACTTTTCCAAAAAATGTCTTTCAAACTTTTTGGAAAGACGTACATCTAAAAATTATTCAAGTTTTGAAGCATGAGTAGCTATTTATATTATCGACTGTAAATTTTATTTACCTAGAAAACATTGAGACGTCTCAAAAGATATCATAAAGATGTTTTAAAATTCATAAAAGCTGTTCTACAATGTGCTTTTTGTTCCCTGTTTTTTGTTTTTTGCTATTTACATCTTGATTTTTTTCTTTTTATCCGGTTTTTGTTTTATATCGCCCAAGATAAAAGTTAACTTCGAAAGAAACAAGAAAAATGTAGCAAGAAATACAATTGTCGATAAAATGGTTACAAAGGAGAAAAAAACAAAAGGTAAAAAACAAAAACAGGAAACAAAGAGCACGTTGTAGAATAGACTTGGAAGAAAATTATTAAAAAAGCATCTATAATATATGGCGTTTATTTGATAGTTGAAATAGAAAATAAACAAATATATATATATTTTTCAGTGCAAGAAACAATTGAAATAGATTCAATAGAAATATTTATTTAAAGGACGCGTCTATAAAATTTCTATTTAAAATATGAGTATTTTGCATAGTAAATATAAAAAAGGCAAATAATATTTACTGTTTACATTAACATTTACTTGAAATAAGATACTTATTATAATTTAAACAAATTATATAATACTTTAGGAAATAAAATATAAAATTACAAATATCTATACCAAATTAATATTAAGATGAGAATTAAATATTGCAAATCTACAAATACAAGCTTAATGGATTTCAATTATCATTTGATCACGATGCCACTAGTCTCGGAGCCATTGTTCGTTCCATTGTTCACCACGACCTGTAAATGAAAAATGAATATAATTATTAAGTTGCCGAAAAAAGGTTTCGTTTAATTTCGTTTTAACGTCCGAAAAAATTTCCGTATTTCGAGATAATATAGGATGTTATTTCGTATAACAAGTTAAATGTAAAACTCTGTATAACTCTGCGTTTTAAGAATATTATTGAATTACTGAAGATTGTGGCCGAAACGTTTAATGTTTTAATGAATGTAATAATAATTAAATATCACAAACTATAACTTGTGCTGTGGTTTTTTATGCTCTTATTTTTTATATGTGTTAAATGTAAAAGTATGAATTTGTATAGATTGATATCCGAGAATCTATTTGTTAATTATTCGTGCGATACACTTCCGACTGAACAAGTTTTGCGTTTAAACAGATTATCAGTATATGAATACCGAATCTATATAGCTAAGCAATAGTTAAATATCGAAAAAGAATTAAATATAGACAATATTAAATATTAAATGTCTGGATTTTAATTACTGTATTTAATTGCGTCACTCGTCTCAAAGCCGATCCATCTCGCCATGTCATCCCCTATCTGCCGCGTTCTGCGGCGCAAATGAAATGTAAATGCGATCAAAACAGTGAAGTGGTTTCATTTCCAGCCCGCGGTTAACTTCACGCGTTAAAAGCGACGCGACGCGCGACACAGCAACACAACTGCATTACGCATCATGATTTTCAGCCGAACCAACCATTGCGAAAAATGCGTTTGAACGAATGATTAGTTTATCAATGCTGAATCTACATTACGCGATATTTAAAATGTTTCAGGAAATAAACGCAAAGTTAGTTCACCTAGTTTTACTCTATCACAAATTAAATCCTATATCCAGCGAAAAATGACAATGAAACCGATAATAATATTAAATATTTTTATAATACGACATAGAACATTATCATTCGAGAGTTTAAAGAGTTCTTAAACAATCTTAAAGCAATCGGTTCTCGGAATTTTTTTGCGTCGCGCGTGAAAATAATAATTTAATAATAGATTTATTAATTAAGTACCTCGTTGGCAAATTGTAATGATCCTTTTCTGAATCGTTTCTTGTCGGTTTATTTTCTGATACTGATAAGGATTCTCTGTAAGATACTTTTCGCAGAAAGATTATATAATAATTAATTCGAAATCAGGACTATATTTTTCCGTGAACGCAACATGACACGCCGCTGCTCAAGTCGCAAAAGCATGAAATCACAAATTACGTGTTATTTATATGGACATGTCAACCAACATCCCCACCATTCACGTACCAGCCAATCGCGATGCCTTGCTGCAGGCACTGTATTTGAACGCTTATTGGATGAACGCTAGCTTTCAGATGGAATATATAATGAAGCGCTATACGCCGAAAAATTCAATTTTTTTTGAAAATTAGGTCTGTGTTTCTCGAGAAGCGCTCGCTTCTAAATGCACTTTATATGCTTTATGGTAGTGCGTATTTAGCATTAATATAGTTCACATTACATAGAAAGATAAAAACGTATATTTATCGATAAAAGCGTGTCCTGAATACAGACTATAAAAATCATATTCTTTTTGAAAATTAAAAACAAATTAGAGAAAAAAATAGATGATGATCATAAAGTCTATACGAAAGAAAGATCGAACTTATAAATACGCTATCAATCTTTTACAAAATACATAGCAAAGTTTTAAATTAGTAATAAAAAATTAAATGCTTATAGATTTACCGAAATTTACAATCAATAATCGTTATTTATGATAATAAATCGAAAAAATTTGTTTATACATTTGTAT